AAATCATGTTTTGTTTTTTTGGTGTTACATTTCCATTTCTGGTATACTAAAGGATATACAAGACCAATAAAAAGTTGCGGGACTAGGTGTCCTGCACTATACACAGTATGCTTAAAAGTCACGTGCTCCTAAATTTTTTTAAAAAGAAAAAATGTCCTCGATATTTTTTAAGATATGCATTAATATGATTTGTTGCTACGATAGAGTTTTACCGGTGCTATAAAAGTCAAATGATGCAATGGACGGTCACGTGCTAAACAAATCTAATAATTTGGCAGAATATAAATATTATAGACGACCCTTCCAATTTTGGATTTCTCACGTGACTTTTATCAAAATTTTTGTGCATTTATTTTTTCAAACATTGTTAATTCAAATGCAAATTTCTAATTTTGTAAAAGGCTATATTAAAAATCCAAATATAGACGGAAAGAGAATTAAATTTGTTTGTATGTTTGTTTGTTTGCTTGTTTGCTTAAGGTTTCATTCTTTGTGTGTCACGACAAAACAAATAAACAAACTCATAAGAAATTAATATTAATGGTAAAGATCGTTGTGCCGCAATTTGCAAATATATTATTTTTGGAAAAGTCTAAAAAAATATATTATGTTTCAAAAATCAAAAATCATTTTTTATTGGCATTCTTAAATTAATTTGATTATAATCAAAAAAAGTTTTATTTTTTTACTTTAATTAATTATACAATAACAAGCAAGTATTATATAGCTTCTTGTAATTATTGTCAACATGCTTTTGATGAACAACCTCTTTGCATGATTAAACATTTACTTTCTTGTAATAGCACACCAAATGAATTAAAAAATAAAACTAAAAGGAAAGATTTTGATAATATTTATGAAAAAATAAACAAAAAGTCATGGAAGGGTTCATTGATAAATGCTCAATTAAAGAAAAAGAAGAATTAGACAATTTATCTCTAGCAATTTTTGGTAGTGGCCTCCACTTATCAATTGTAGAAAATCAGTATTTTATCAATTTTTGTAAAAAAATTCATCCTGCTTATGAATTACCATTTAGAAAAGCACTCATTATCAAATTGTTAAATGATAAATAACTGAAAATAATAATAATCAAATTGAAAAATCAAAATATGTCTGTATAACAAGTGATGGTTGGATTTCATGGTTACTTTACCAAAACCACTATTTTGGGAAGCATTTGAAAATGAAGAAATTGACAATGACTTGGTTTTCAATTATAATGACTATAATTATGATGGTGAAAATTATGATGATGATAATGATCTTGATGAATTGATTAATTTAGAAGATAGTAATAACAATCAAGAATTATAACATAAGTTTATTATGCAATTAGTATTTTTTATAAATAAATATTCAAATCAAAATTGTTATATTATTACATATTAGTGGAATATACCATGGTATATACAGTCTATGGATCTTTCTATAACGGATTTTTCTCTATAACGGATTAAAAGTTTGGTCCTGGTTTTTTACTATTTGAAATCTCTTTCTATAACGGATATTATTAATTAAACTTTTTATTACGTATAACGGATTGTATCTGAAAATCACTTCATATGACTTACATATAAATCAACACTGCCTATAACGGATTCACGTGATCTGAAATAAAATGCGATCTCCCCAAATCTAAATTATATAAAAAATTACCATTACCCGTAATCGCAAAATAAAAAAATATTTTTATTCCATATGACTTAATGTAGTACAATTTTCTATACCAGATTCTCTCTATAACGGACAAATTTCCTGGTCCCAATGATCCGATATAGACAGTGTGGACTGTACCCTTCAATCATTTACAACATGTTAGATACCATCCTTAATTGCCACTCATCATCACTCTAGTTAAATAAATAAAAATGAAGGTTGGTTCCTCACAAACATATGGTGCATTATTCTAGATGCTTGTTTTATAGATATTGATAAAATGGAATTTATTAGGTGAGCAACATTTTATTTTATTTCCAAAATATTCATTTATCCAAACCTTTATATATAAAATTTGCTTTTCAGAGGCGAAGGTTATTCACATGCATTAAGCAAAAGAAAAAATTCTGGAAGGAATAGTAAAATACTGGCATGTTCTTTGGCAGAAAATGTGATGGAGTTGGTCGTGAGTTGGGATCAACTAATGAAATTACACTGAGTGATGAAGGAAGTGTTGGTTAGGAGAAAACGGAACTAAACCTTTCAGATGGTGTATTAAAGATGCCAAGATCATGAGGGATATGCTTCTTCAAAAAATTAAAATCAAATGCTTAAATTTTATAAAATCTTGACAAATTGAAATTGTAGGATTCTTGTATTCAGGTAAATACCTTTGCAACAATATGGTTTTCTCGATTTTTTTTTTCATATTTATTCTTCCATTATATTAAAAGCACAATATATACAAGTTTTGGTTATGGATATCCCGTCTGGTTACACGTGTTGTTTTCAAAGATCTATTACTAGCAATATCCCTGCTATGCTTGATGAAGTAGACAGGGTTGGCAAATTGACTGGTCCATTGAGAACTATTGGACTTTGGACTGGTCCATTGCCATTAATAAATTACTAAATATGGCTAGAATGTTACACCAATAGACCATCAATGGACCACAACCCTGAAGTAGACAATTTAATTATCATCATTAATGAAGTTTTGACTGCAAAGGTATTTTTCATATAATTATCATCATAATTAATACAACTTGTATTTATTATCTTCCATTTATCCAGCTTTGAATTATTAAAAGTCTGGAAAATTTATGTAGTACCAAATCAATTAGTGATCTGGCATTCATTGATTGTTTAAGGAAAAGAAAAACGAGCAATGATGATAAAGAAAATGATGACTTTTTTGAGTACATAAACCTCTTCCAAAAAACCAAAACCTCAAACAACGAAGTTAAAATTTAAAGGAATGAATATACTTTAATAATGTAAATGTGATGAAGATTTTCCTTCGGAGTTAATTAATTTCCTTCAAAATAATAAAAATGGATATGCATTGTTAAAAATAGGAAAATAAATAAGAATAATAAGAATAAATTTAATATCTACTTGTGAAATTATAAGGGTCCAAAATTTATATATATGTTATAATCTTAGTATTAATGAATTATGGAAAATTAGATATCCCCATGATACAAATTTCGACTTCTATTGTTATTGGTTGATTGTAATTGGTAATATTAATGTTGATGCACAATGCATCAACTAATCAGAGAAAACCATGGACTGCAATGTTTAATTACATCCATCATTCATAAAACTAATGGTTTCCTTTTCAAGTGATCCACATGAAAAAAATGGGTTGTAACAACAGTTTTTTTGATGGACAACATGGAGAAATCATTATTATTGAAATAAAATTGATGTATACAATTGTGATGTTAAACATTTATTATTTTTATTATTTGAATGTGCGCATTTATAAATTTACGTGTAACAAAAAATTTACCCGTGATAAAATCAAAATATGATCTATTACTATAATTGATGAAATTTTACCAATTATGTAAATGTCCGCTACGATAGATTTAGTTTCGGCATTTTACCTGCATGAAAGCCGAAACTATTGCAGAAATTTAGTAGTTAGGCAAACTTCTATATTGTCATGGCAAGATTTTGTGTAGAATGAGGGATGACTGCATTAGGATCTGTATTATAATTGAAGTTCATTGTTATAGTGGTGGTGGTATATGATTTATTGCTACAGAGTAATGGGATGAATAATCAAAATTATAATGATCAAACTCAAACTTGTCAACAACATCATCAACAGGTAATTTTTTTAAAAAAGTAAATAATTAATCAAATAATTAATATAATATGATTGATTGATTGGTTGGTCATATTTATTTATTAGATTATTGTAAATAAAGAGCCTGTATCAATTGTAAAAGCAGCAGCTATTGGTGTAAAAGCAACGGATGTTGATGAGTTTAACTTATTATCACATTAATTTTTTGTTATAATTATAATATTTATGTAATAATTTTGATCACTTTATTTATTTATTAAAAATAGTTTGTGACCCAATGATTCAGGGTTTTGCACATACACTTACAGGACCACCATCATTACAAATAATACTGTATAAACAACACAACTACAACAACCACAACAACAAATATTACCACCACTGTCACAACAACAACCACAACATCTACAAAAAACCTTACCATCACAACCTGGAAAGAAGGTACAACAATCACAACAAACAGAAATTCCAACAATTAATGTTAATATTACTACTACCAATAATACTTAACATCAAAGACAACCATCATCAGAAAATTTATATACAACAAATAAGAAAATCTAAAAAAAAGAGACCATCAAGAGCCATTAAATGAACAAATATCATCCCTCCATTGAACTTCAGCAAAAGAAACCTGTAAAACAAAACCACCAAGGATACAAAAAAACCTATTGAGTCTCAACAGCCATAAAACAAAAAACACCCAAAGTACAAAAACCTCTTGAATTTCAACAGCCACAAAAGCAAAAACCATAAAACAAAAACTACCAAATTACAAGGATCTCAACCAAAGAAACAACCACAACCAAAGAAACAACCACAAAAACAAAAACGACCACCACAACAAAAGAGACCATAACAACTTCCTTTTCCTCAACCACGAATTACAAATAATAATGTTTTACAACCAGCATCAAATAATAATAGATAAGAAAAGTCCAACTGAAAATTCAGAAAAAATCACAGCCCAACCAAAACTCCAGAAACAAAGAGTATAAAGACAAAACATCAGCTGCAACCAAACATACAAATAGACCAGCAAGATCCAAATCAAGATGATGTATCTGCACAAAATTATGGGATAACCAAGATGATAGTAATTCATTAGCAGTAAACTTTAATAATACTGAATGAAGATGTTGAAAATGTTGAATTATTAGCAGAAATGTAGATGATTATGTTGAAGATGATGACAACAATGATGAAGATGTTGAAAATGTTGAATTATTAGCAGAAATGTAGATGATGATGTTGAAGATGATGACAACAATGATGAAGATGAAGATGAAGATGAAATAAACGAAAGATGATGAAGGATGAAGATAAGGATGAAATAGATGAGATAATGATGATGATGTGGATGATGATGCAGATGACAATGTAGATGATGAAGATGATGAATATGACAATGAATATGACAAAGATGATTTGAATGACAATGAATGTGATGAAGATGATGTAGACAACAATGTAGATTATGAAAATAATGATGATGATGAAAACAATGAAAATGGTGATAATTTAGATGATGTAGATGATTGTAGTGGTGGTGGCAATAATTGTGATGATGCCAATAATTATGATGGTTGTGGTGGTTACAATGATGGTAACAATAATTACAGTGGTTATGATGATGGTGACAATAATGGTGATTGTGACAATTTCAATGGTGCTTTTGGTGGTTATTTCAACAATGAATTTGATGGAAATTTTGATGGTGGTAACTTTAATGGAGGCTTTGACATTGTAAATATGTTGGATTAATTAATAGATTGATCATCATTTTATATTTATTATTAATTTAATTTAAAAATCAATGGGTTCTGGAGGTGATGCTTTTGACATAACTTCATTAAATGATTCTCTTCATGTGGTAATGGATATGGAAATTTTGGTGATGGAGGCGGATTTGATTTTGGTGAAGATTTTTAATCTTTTACCCCATCAAACCACACTTTTTATTATCTTGATTTTTCTTTGACAAATAATATTTTATTATTTTTATTTACTTTATTGTAATTTTTATATTGTTAATATAAAAAAAATAAATTTTGACTAGAAATGAATAGTTTGATTTTAAAAAAAAGTGAATATTAAAACAATACTTGGATTTAAACAACTCTTTGAGCCAAACTAACAATCTTCCCCCATTTTTTATCTCTCAATTCAGCACCAATAACACCAAGTATTCTTGTTCCTAATGGTTCACCACGATTATTTATAAGTACACAGGCATTATCATCAAATCTTATATAACGACCATCAGGTCTTCTTGTTTCCTTTCTTGTCCGAACAATAAGAGCTTTACGTACTTCACCCTTACGAATCATCAATTTTCCTGCTGGAGTGTTTGCAGCAGCAGCACTTGCTGCTGTCTGAGAAGTTACCTGTGGAATGGGACGGGCTCTTTTAATCACCACTGTAATTGGATCTCCTGATTTTTATTCTTTTAACCATTAATAATTTTTTTTTTTGATAAATAAATAATTTTTCAAATAAAAATTATAATTCATTTTATAAATATATATACCAACCAATGCGACCATATCTTCCACCATGAGCTACTCTGATACATTCTGCAAGAAGAGCACCTGAATTATCTATTACATTTAACACTGTTTTAAGTTGAATCATGTTTTATTAAAAAAAGTTTTTTTTTGCAAAGTAGATCATAAAATAATTTTTGGTATTTTTGATGATTAAGATTACAAAAAATAGTACTGTACATTGGCGCATCCAAATTACCAAAAAGGTATACATGGTGTAATGTCCAATTGCCAACAGTGGATACTAAAATGTAAACGTGATAATTGCGAATGTCAATCAAAATCAAACTTCTAAAAAAAACTTCTTTTTTATATTTTTATACTTTTATCATCATTATTTTACGATTTATTAATTCATTAATTATTACAAGGATTGAATGGAATTTATCAACTACAACTATTTTGCTGTTCAGATGATGTCAACAGGCAAGAAGCATTGATTGATTTCCCAAATCTTTGTCTGATTAAAGTCAACAAAACGAATGTTGATGCTGTAATTATCATCACATTAGATCTCATGAAATTAAGTAGGAACATATATATCAATTGATTTTTCATTTATTTGTCTTTATTTTTTTATTTATATTTTTAGAACTTAAGAGGTTTAAAGAATAGACCTGGGACAGTTCATTCTCAAGATATAATGGAGCTCTGCAAAAAAGATTCATCATGCAAAAATAAGATCGAATTTTATTATGAAAATACTTCAAAAGTAAAATCATATTTTTATTTGTTAAAGATAAAATTTTATTTCATTATTGACATTTAATTACCATTATCATCATTTTAGGATTATATACTTATGTTATATTTAGTGAAAAAGGTAACGGTAGAAGAGATTGTTAATAGAATTAAAAATGGAAAGTATATCTCAAAAGAAATTGTTCTAGAGAAAAGTAAGAAATTTAACTTTATATTTAATAAAGTATTTATTACATATGGCATTTATAAATTTTTATCCATTGACTTTAATATTTTTACAGTTAAAAAATCACGTCAAGATTCTGAGGTTGTTGCAACTTCGAGTGTAGTTTCATTGAAGGACACGGTATATTACAATTAATTAATAAATTTTTTTTTTAATTCATAGTTTGTTATTAAATAGCAAATTTTTCATTTTATTAGTTGTCACATAGTAGAATTAATTTACCATGTAGATCAATCCAATGCAATCATCTTCAATGCTTTGACGTTTACTCATATTTTAAGATGAATGAACAGACTCCTACTTGGACATGCCCAATATGTCATAAAATACTTGATTCATGGGAAGAAATTGTAGTTGATGGGTAAGTAAATGATACAAGCACCAATTAATTTTTATCAAGCGAGAGGTTGTTTAATAATAATAATACTTAATATTTTATTTTATATATATGTATATGTGTGTGTGTGTGTGTATATAATAAACAGTTTTTTCAACGATATATTAGCAAATACACCTGTAGAGCAAGAATGTGTTACTATTGAAGCTGATGGAAGTTGGGCAAAATCAAAAAGATCTCATAAAAGTGATACAGAAGATGCTTCACTTACTTCAGTTTCTCCAGCTAAAAAAACGAAATTAAAACAACAACAAAAACAGATTTATACAATTGATTCATCTGATAGTGAAGACAATTCATCTGAAGGTGACTCAGGTTCAAGCCCAGGCTCAGATTCATCTAATTTGTCAAATTCACCCAACGCTGATTCAGATAATTCAGATGAAAATGATTCAGATGATGAGTCAGATGACAATGATTATAAGCATGCTAAAAATAAGAATATTAAAAACAATGTTACAAATAATAGAATATTCAAAAAATCAAATAGTCCAATTTTCATCGATCTTACACAAAGCAGTAGTGACGAAGAAATTGATAACGATACGGGATTTAATAAAACCAAAGTACACAACCACATTAATAATAGCGATAATAAGTGTAAATCCAATAATGATAATTGCAATATTACCAGTAGCAGAAATAACAATAATAATAATAATAATAATAATAATATAAATGTTAATGATCATGTTAATATGAACGGCATTGGAAATATCAATGGCAATATCAATATGAACAGTAATGAAAATGTGGTCAACATGTTTGATCTAGAGTTGTTCAGGAAACACTTAATTTCAAATACTCCTCCAAAAACTAGTCCAGTATTTTCTAAACTATCGAATCTAAATACAACAGCAACGAAATTGTTAACAACAACAACATCACCGTCACCTAGTATGATGATGACATCAGTCAATACATCTGCTATAACTGTCACCTCCACCACCTCCTCCAGCAATAATTATTATTATAATAATAAAACTACAACAGCAACAGCAACAGCAACAACTGTTACTCCAATTGAATCTTCTGGCATAACCATTTCACATAATAATCAAGAGCCAATCAAGCAATAGCATCAACAACAACAACATGATACAAATTTACCAACATTTGTTCATAATGATCCAACAATTTTCCTCGCCATTTATTTGAAAATGATGAAAATATATACAATTTTGATTCTCGATTTTTTCAATTGAATTAATAATTTTTTTGATATACAGTACATATCATTGCAATTGCAATTGCAGATCAATAAATATTAATATTAATGTGAGTGTGTGCTTATTTAGTATTAGTATTAGGGAGGAAGCTATATAAAAATTTTTATTTGTGAAATACGTGTTTGGTGGGTGACACGAAAAAAAAAAATAAAAAAAAAATATTATTATTTCAATAACAGCAAACTCGCTCACACATAACATAACATAGTTAAAAATTATTTTGATTCCACCTTTAAAAATAATAAAGAAAATAAAAATAATGCCTAAAGAAACTAAAGAAAAACACAGTAAACTAAAACTCGCTATTAACCGAGAAATCACTCCTGGCTTTGTTGATACTAGTCCTAGAGGTCAAGAAATCAATGTTTCAAAGGTGCTATTGGAGCAAATCGAGAAAAAAAAGAAGTCAAAGGCGCTTACGATAGGCTCGAAAGATTTCAATCCAGTCGCTTTCTTGGATAAATTTCATGAAAAAAAAAATGCTGAAGTGGAAGGCTCACAAGCACCAGAATATAAAGTCAAGTATGATCGTGAAAAGAATGTCGTGTTGAGCAGACTTGAATATTTTAATCGTGTGTTTACATGTCAAACTGAAAAAAAGAATAAATTAAAATTGGAAAAAAGAAATGCCAAAAGAAATGTTGCTTTGCAATGTATAGAATATATTAAAAAAAGTCATCTTTTTGATACTCTGATCGCCGTAATTCAAATAGAAGATAATGTGTTTTCCACTGAAATGGAAGAAGTAAAACATTGTTCACAGGCTTTTCTTAACGCATTTCATCAAAAAATCATTATAGGAGATCAGCCTAAATACACTATAGTCACACTACCACAACCTAAGCTCAATAAAGTAGAAGATAAAATGGATGTTGATGAGCCAAATCAACAAATTGAACTTGACGGGCAAGATGATGGACAAAATGAGCAAATTAAAAGAATTGTAAAGAACAAACCAGCAAAGCGCTTTACATGCATACTTAAATATCTCGGAAATAAATTTAAATCTTGTGCATATAATACTGTTGAAGAAGCACGGAGAGAGTCGGCTGATAAATGTGTTGCCTTTCTTACACGTATCAGGCCATATGATGTTCGGCTAATCAAGGAGCTAGAATTCAAACGAAATCCTAACTTGGATAAATTAATTGACTTACATAAAATCAGAGTTGACAACTTCAATATTCATGATAAAGAATGCACAGTACCTCAATCCAAACTTTGGATTAATAGAATAACCGCTGAGAATCCAGACAAACCACCATATGTAATACTTCAAGAATTCTGTCTAAAATTCAAAATAGGACAAGTACATTTCATTCCAAACGAAGTAGGAGAAGGTAGATTCAATTATTCATTAAAAATTGATGGTAGAGAACCCGTTAGAACTTCCATGTGGTTTACCCATGAGACGGATGCTAAAAATTATGTTGCTAAAAAAGAACTAACTGCGCTTTTAAAATTGTACGAAATTAGCGAACAAGAGGAACTTTTAAGAGTCGCTAATGATTATAAATTGAAGATTGGTTTGGTCATTAAAGAATAAAATTTATAAATTTTGATATTGTTTTTTTTTAAAAAATCAAATGACATTTATTCAAAAATTGCTTTGGATAACAATTTTATATATGTTTACCAATAAGTTTTATAGTTTATGACTCTAACCTCAAAACCTGCTTTTATTTTGTGAAATTTATATAAAATCAAAATATGATCAACGAAAATCATTACCAATTACACTAATGTCCGCTATGCTCATGAGCATAGTTTTAAAAAAGAATAGAACTTTACAACAAATAATTTTTTTGAGAAAATCTCTCTATTACATTAAAATTAAAGACTTATTCTATCAACTAATAGAGCTACTTTTTAAAAAGTAGGACAGGAAATGACTTTATACTTTTAAAATTTGCACAAAATTTAGGAGGCCTTTAGACCGAGCCAACTATAGCAAATTTTAAGTACTCGATTTCTAAAGGGATACTCTTGGTAATTCTACACTTTGCTTTTGCTCTGCCAGCTATTGCAGATCGCCCAAAATTTCCTTCAGATAAAGGTTCTTTTATTTGTTTCAATGAATCTATAAGGATATATAAGAAAATCACATCTAAAATTCATTATACCAAATAATTAATTGCGTTTTAGATTTTTAAAATTTCGAAATTAATTTTTTATTGGTCCAAACTGTAATTGGGCAAAGTTAACTTTGAATTTTTATTTAAGTTAAAATAGGTTAATTGCATAGTTATTATATTAATTCAATTGTTGATTTTTTAAATTAAATAATTACTAATGCCAACTAAACAGAATCGTCAAAAGATAACAACAAAACAATGTCTTTCTTATACTATATACTAACACTAAAAATGCTAAAAACACACTTTACGATTAGTTGATAATTGAAAAAAACATTTTACGAGTTATCGTTTGTCATGTTTTTTTGTAACGGTGAAGCATCTTCTTTAAGTTTTTCGTCAATAACATAAAGAAATTAATCGCAAATTATCCTGTTTCTTTTTTAGTAGTGGTCAAAATACACTTTCAAACAAGTCTTGGACAGGGTTTTTTAACAAACGACCAATTTCCGTTTTTTTTCAATTAATGGTAACAGAGTATCATCGCCTTTGCATTTTTTCAAAAAGACAGTCAATTTTTCGTCAACAATAAGAAAATTATTATTGTGAATTATTCCGTTCCCCTTTACACTTTCAAAAAAGTCTTGCCATTTTTTTTTAAAAACGACCAACCAATTCCCGTTTTTTATTATCCACATAACGACTCTTTAATCATTATATGAAAAATATCATGATAATTTTTAGTTTTGTTCAACCAGAGAGGGCAGTTAGGAAAACTCCATTGAATGTCACCGCCAAATTAAACCTAATCATATTAACGCGAATCTCGAAGCACTTTTCGAATAGGTTGATCACTTGATTCAATCAGGTGACTTTTTGAAAAAATAAAAATAAAAATGAGGTTTTGGGAATTGAGTCAAAGCCAAATTAATTTGGCAACATGTGCAATAGACCAATTAGTAGGAGGCTATAATTCATTTGATTTGAATTTAATAATATGTAAAAAAATACAACTGAAAATTTTATTTATAATGTTAGATATTAATTCTACACAGTTTAGTTATGCTGTTGAGAAACATGGTCTGGAAATTTAGTCATTCTAATAATATTAGCTATATTTGGTGGTGGCTGGGATCTTATTTTAGATTATTAGTAGTAATTAGCTTGCCAAAACTCAACAGCAGAGTTACTGATTGTTTCGGCAAAGTTCCGCATTTTGGGGCTTTGGCAATTGGCAGAGTTTTGGCAAGGTACACACTAATTGTTTATTAGAGTTTTGGCAAAGTTTCGGCAGCCTTAGTAGTTATAGTAGTGATTCAAATATTAATATAATAGATTGTAAATATGATGAATTAGAAGTATTTATATAAATAATAATTATTTTATTTACATATACTACGTATTTGATCGCATATTTCTAAAAACCCACATAATAACAAGTTGGGTATAGTAATTACCTGTCCTGATTTGAGAGTCGTTATGTGGATAATAAAAAACGGGAATTGGTTGGTCGTTTTTAAAAAAAAATGGCAAGACTTTTTTGAAAGTGTAAAGGGGAACGGAATAATTCACAATAATAATTTTCTTATTGTTGACGAAAAATTGACTGTCTTTTTGAAAAAATGCAAAGGCGATGATACTCTGTTACCATTAATTGAAAAAAAACGGAAATTGGTCGTTTGTTAAAAAACCCTGTCCAAGACTTGTTTGAAAGTGTATTTTGACCACTACTAAAAAAGAAACAGGATAATTTGCGATTAATTTCTTTATGTTATTGACGAAAAACTTAAAGAAGATGCTTCACCGTTACAAAAAAACATGACAAACGATAACTCGTAAAATGTTTTTTTCAATTATCAACTAATCGTAAAGTGTGTTTTTAGCATTTTTAGTGTTAGTATATAGTATAAGAAAGACATTGTTTTGTTGTTATCTTTTGACGATTCTGTTTAGTTGGCATTAGTAATTATTTAATTTAAAAAATCAACAATTGAATTAATATAATAACTATGCAATTAACCTATTTTAACTTAAATAAAAATTCAAAGTTAACTTTGCCCAATTACAGTTTGGACCAATAAAAAATTAATTTCGAAATTTTAAAAATCTAAAACGCAATTAATTATTTGGTATAATGAATTTTAGATGTGATTTTCTTATATATCCTTATAGATTCATTGAAACAAATAAAAGAACCTTTATCTGAAGGAAATTTTGGGCGATCTGCAATAGCTGGCAGAGCAAAAGCAAAGTGTAGAATTACCAAGAGTATCCCTTTAGAAATCGAGTACTTAAAATTTGCTATAGTTGGCTCGGTCTAAAGGCCTCCTAAATTTTGTGCAAATTTTAAAAGTATAAAGTCATTTCCTGTCCTACTTTTTAAAAAGTAGCTCTATTAGTTGATAGAATAAGTCTTTAATTTTAATGTAATAGAGAGATTTTCTCAAAAAAATTATTTGTTGTAAAGTTCTATTCTTTTTTAAAACTATGCTCATGAGCATAGCGGACATTAGTGTAATTGGTAATGATTTTCGTTGATCATATTTTGATTTTATATAAATTTCACAAAATAAAAGCAGGTTTTGAGGTTAGAGTCATAAACTATAAAACTTATTGGTAAACATATATAAAATTGTTATCCTAAGCAATTTTTGAATAAATGTCATTTGATTTTTTAAAAAAAAACAATATCAAAAT